AGGGTACAGAGAAGGTGATGATGAGATGCCATGCAGGTGTGACTCTCACGGGATAGTCTTTTGGTGAGGACATCCTAGAGTAGGAACCTGACAAGTGGCTGGGACTGAGGAACAATTATGTCTAGAAAACATTTGATTAATCTGCACGTTATTATTTGAGAAAAAACAAATCTGTAGTTGAAAGATGCAGCACACTCTTACACAATTTTAGTTAAGAGAAATTCCAGTTGAAGGTAGTATCTTCCCATTAAGTGGACCACAGGGGTAAGGGTCATTCTTTCTTTTTTAAGAACTGTTATTATTTCACAATAGCTATATCTTTAATTGACGACAGTATAACCTGCCTGTCAATATAGCTAATAGCCAATGCCACTGCAGATGTTGGAAGGTATTGCTTAGTAGCAAAACATGTTTGTATTTCATCCCCAGACTTGGTCTGAAGTGCCACCCTGCCTAGATACGTACCCGAAGTTCGACACAGCCCCTTGCTGCAGGGGTGCTCCATAAATCCTTACGCATAAATGCCTTCCTTGCTTTGTCTGCAGTTAAGGATGCTTCTGGGCAAGGCTGCTTGTGAAAGTACGTATCTGCGGGTTCACATCCCCAGTGATCGTACGTCACAGCAGCCTGTTGTCACCTGTCCTGCTGTAGTTCCTGAGCTCTGCAACAGCGGGTCATCTCGTTCCATCTTATAGGGAGACATTGCTCACAGTCCTTGAACTACAAAATCTTTTAAGTCAGGGACTGAAATATTTTGTTCTGTAAAGAGCTTCACACATACTCTTACATCCTACATATGATCATTTACAAGAATGACTTATGTTTTATTGATTATGTGAACTTCCACGTATATTTTAATATGGAATAAATAGTTGATGCAACTATATACAAGGAATGAAATCTGATTTCAGTTAATATCATAATCCATGTAATAAATTAGCATCTGGTTCTGACTTTCCAAATCTCGGCTTCCAAACTCTTCAGAAATTAATGGGAAAGTCAGTAGAAAGCCTCTACATAAAGCATAGTATTAATTCTTCATGTCTGCTTCATTTTACTTTATTTAGACTTGAACGATATCTGATATCTTCCCTCATCACCCATGGGAAGATGGGAATCACATCACTACGTCCTCGTATGTTATAACTCAAAGGAGAACACAGAGGGAAAACAGCCAGAGAAATTCAGCCCAAACCATGTCATGAGTTGTAATAAACAGTTCTTGTACTTTCCACTGGTCTGACCTTTTCCACTACTTGTTGTTTGAGGCACTTTAATCAGTGGATTTATAATTTATTGTATAATACAGCTCTTCTTTTTCAAACAGCAAAAGCCTTGTTAACCCTCTCTTGTAAGTCAGTGTAGAATTTGGCCAATCTAAGAAACTCCCGGGGTTTGTTGTTTCAGTCCTAATATCTCACACTGTGTGTGTTTTGCAGTTGATTTTGATTGGCTCAGACATAGACCTTGAACCAGCTCCATTCATTTTCTTAATTACTGATTTATTGATAATTAGAAAATACTAACTGAAATACTGAAAGTGCTAATCACTGTTGCTATGTACACTTATCACTGGGCGGGGAGGATAATAGTTACTCCTTACAGAGTTTGGCTTCCAATGACTTGAAGAAAATCCCTCTGTCTGAAGTGGTGTCATCGTCAGGTAACCACCATTTCCAAGGG